CGATTGATCTATCATCTATCAATCAAGGTGTCCAATGATCTCTCATCTATCAACCAACATATCCATCGATGTGTGATTGATCTCTGTGTCTATCATCTGTCAACCAATCATCGATCACCTATCTACCATCGATTGATCTATGTACCGATCTGTCCATCAATCACGCGGCTCTTCTCTGACCTCTGAACCAATCAGATCAATGAGGGGATCCAGGGACCAGCCCGAATTCCCACAATGTTTCCTGCCCCTCGACTTCCCGGGGTGCTGCTCGAGGTTTGCACAGTCCTTCTGGGCCCGGTTGCTCCGTGATGGCGGAGTTTTCCTTCACACCATGGAATACTATTCAGCAAGGAAGAAGGGTAAACCAGGCCCAGAAACGCACGGCGCTGAGAACCATGTCCCAGTGGTCGCTTCCCTCCAGGCCGCGGCCCGGCTTCCTCCCCAGAGCGTCATAACCGGAAGTGGGTCGTTCTAACCGGAAGTGTGCCCCTCACCCCGTCTTCCCAGCACTGGGGAGCAGGAGGGGCAGGAGGAGGGTCCCGACTACTTGGTCCTCGGTGCTCGGTGAGCTGGGGGCCACCCTGGGCTACAAGCGCGCTCTCCGGACGAAATGAAGAGCCCCGTCAGGATGTGAGGCCACGATACTAAGTACCAGTACCGCCACGTCAGGCCTTGCTCCCGAGCAGTGACGTCACATCCCACGGCTGCCCCCGCGCCTTGTGGGACGGAGTCCACGCAGAGTCCACGCGCACCCCACGCGCAACCCTGACGCTCCAGCTCCGGGATCCCGCGGCCTCTGGGCTCTGTGGACTCTGCCGTCATGTGTGTCGTATGACACAGCGTGTCGCGGTCTCTCCGGCAAAGCGCCGGGGTCACCTGGGAAGGACTTAGCGTGGTGCCCGGGCTGACGCAATTCGTCACGCGGAGGCCGCGGACTGAAGACCCGGAACTTTTGGGGTGATGTCTGTGCTCCATGGGGACTGAGGACTGGGGAGCAAAGGAGTCCTACACAGCCAGGAGCAAAGAACCGGTGGGACTCGAAGTTTAGGGCGCAAAGGAGTACTACACATTCAGAAACAAGGAACTAATGGGATCTGAGGATAGGGAGCAAAGGACTACTAGGCAGTCAGGAACCGGGAACGTTTTAGGAGTCAGGCCTTGTGAGCTGATCTTTGTGCCTGGCGTGATCTGAGGACTAGGGAGCAAAGGAGTAGTATACAGTCACGAACAAGGAACCTTTCCGGCGTCACGCCTTGTGACGCAGGCTCTGTTTGCTTCCAACAGATGAACATGATTTCGACTTGGCCGACGCCCTGGACGACCCTCGTGAGTACTGAGTCCTCACAACACGTGTGTGGACCGAGACCCCCCCGCATGGCCGTGGAGCCATGTGACCAGGCCGTGTGCATGAGCACACCCCGCCTGATGCCCTCGGCCATAAGCACTTCTCACAGTCATTCTATCAAGTCCCGAGCTGCCAGTGACTCTTTGGTGCTTACTAAGTATTATTTTTCTTCCTTCACAGAACCCACCAAAAAGCCAAGCTCCGGTGAGTGACTTACCTGCCCCCCCTCCAGCACCCAGATCCTGGGGCAAAGCTGTTTTCTCCCTGGGTAGAATGCTTGTAGCTCAGTGGGTGGAGTGCTTGTAGCTCAGTGTGTAGAGTGCTGGGGAATATTGTGTGGTGCCGACACACACAGCCAACCGTGTGATGGGCATAGTGACGGGTGCTTGCGCACAGTGATGGGTGCTTCTGCGCCGCCATGCAGGGTGCTTGCAAGCGTCAGGGGTTCGATGTTTTCTGATCACAGAATATGTTGCCCCCGCAGATCTTTACCCAAAGCTGCCTCAGCCCTCGGACCCCAACAGTGGAAGTGAGTGATAACTAAGTTCTAAGTGATGACCAAGCTCTAAGTGATGACCAAGCTCACCGTGCCTCAAACTCCGGGGAGGCTGAGCACATTTGCTTGTTCGTGGCTTGAGTCCCGGTGTTACTGAAACGGGGACATGACAAAAATACGGGTGGAGATGTGGCTCGGGGTACAGTGCTTGTCACTCAGTAGGTAGAGGGCTTGTAGCTCTGGGTGGAGTGCTTGCAGCTCAGAATAGAGTACTTGTAGTGTAGTGGGTGGAGTGATTGTAGCTCAGTGGATAGAGTGCTTGTGGCTCAGTGGATAGAGTGCTTGTAGCTCAGTGGGTAGAGTGCTTGTAGCTCAGTGGGTGTAGTCCTTGTAGCTCAGTGTGTGAAGTGCTTGTAGCTCAGTGGGTAGAGTGCTTGT